CTAAATTTCTGGGTTTAAATTTGAAATATTTGTCTAGCACACGGATTTTTTCCATGTATTTTGATAAACGTTTTGATATAATATGAATATTTCAATGTTTTAAGTGCTATGTTTAAAACTATTCATTAAAATATTACATGAATAACATCAACCAGTTTTTAACTGACACAATTCTAATGTCAATTAGCAAATTTCTAGAGTGAAAGTAGTAGATCGAGAATTATGAAACCTCAGAGAAAACATATAAACGTTTCAAATTATAACATCAGATTCTGAGCACTAAACAACTAATGAATAATTCAATCCAACTTAAAACTCTGACTGCACTAGAAAACCAACTCCCATATAACCATCGTCAGATCTTTTAACCAGATGGGATATAGGATCCAAAACTAGAGTAACTATAATTATGTTTTGTCTTGAAAACATGGAAATTCCGTAAAGATGAAAACAGAGATTAATGTGAGTAAAACGGATAAACAAAGAATTAAAGCTGTAAATTTTGAAATTTCTGCACACATACACCTAGTCTCATACTTCTGTATACTCAACAAGAGTGTCCACTTGATTTATATCGAGATTAGGCTGGGAGTGTAATTTATTTATTATTTTCTTAAATAAAAACCTGTACCACGCATTCGGTTTCCTTCGAAAAATAACACTAATACTACGAGTGAGTACTGAAGGGATTTAACCCCATTTTTAATGGCGCTGTGCCCGATCATCTTCATGCATTTTGTAAAGGCCACTTTGTATTTCAAAGCTAAAAGAAAATAAAACATGCAAAACCATATTGAATGCGGTATATTATTCAAAACATGTCGCCAGTTTATTGTGCTGGGAGTTGAAACCTTTTTGCAGGTGGCCTGCACTGATGACTATGTATTTCCACCGTATGCGAACATAATATTACATACAGATATATATGGAGAGCTCAGACTAAAGGTTTTAGTTCAACACAACGTGTCCAGTTTTGAAGAATAAAGCTAGGTATTCTAGCCCAGTAAGTACTGTATCGACAGCTGTCGCGTGATGTGTTCCATCATGATAGTTCTGTTGCATTTTAAAACACCCATCGATCTCCGAGTTACAAGGTTACACCTCCCCACATTCACACACAAAAAAAGGAAATTTCGTGTTCTTCAATTTTCGGGGTTTCTTGAGGAAGAACATTCATGAAAACTTTAATTTTATCATCAGCGTTTCCGCTACCGTAGTTTCAGTACACGGCTAGGGTCAAATAATAATGCTTCATTGAAGTTGACTACATTTCCAGACGGAGTTCTAACGGTTAAAGTGGTCAATCTCAGTTAAAACAGACAGAAGCTAAAATATATATTGAAAAGCTATCCAACAGAGATTGAGTGAAAGTGGGTGTAAACAACGTGTAGCAAACTATTTATTATTTATAAAAAAATACCAACAGATACAATACAGGATCTCAAGTTTCACAGATGTTTGAGATCTTGAAAAGGTGTTCTATATTTTATTTTTCTCCCTATTTACGTAGGACTAATCTCAAGTAGGCTAGTTTAAAAGTGGCTTGTCCTGGCTAGATTTTCGTTGG